AAATATAAAGAACAAGATTACTACTTTTATAGCTAAGTGCGTAGACTACTAAAAGAATAAGTATAGTACCTACGCACTCTTTAAAGAGATATAAGTAATAGAGCTACCTAACTAGCCTTAGTTAAATATCTCTATAAACTTAATAATAGGTCTACTAGTCTTGAGAGACTCTATAACTAAGGTATTCTATAATGTAATTCTTGTAGTAGTTAATTATTTTATAAAGTAAGTAGACCTCTCTAGGCCTAAGAGACGAGGCCTACAGTGTACTTGTTTTAGAATTACGTAATTATCAGGTAATAATATAATTACGCGATAACGTAGTGCTATGTTACCTAATAGCAAACTTAAAAATCTCTAATATAAGTATATATTTGCGCCTTATTATAATACTTATACCTACACTACTACTACTACTACTAACACAATAATTACTACACGCGCAATTGCAACGCGCTAATTACTTTACATTTATTATACATAACTAAAAGTTATTTTAGTTATTAATTAGTAGTAGTAGTAGCACTAATACCTACTCTATACAATCGCGCAATACTAAAAGAAAACCTAGTAAGTCTACCTATACTAGTATAAAGCCTCTAAGATAACCTAAGACATCTATATAATTACTAGTAACCTATATTCTATGCGTAATTATCTATAAGTCTAGCTATATTAGTAGTAGCTATATTACGTAATTACTATAGCTACTTTCTATATTTACTATTATTTGTCTGCCTATTTTCTATCTATACCTATAAGTCTCTTAGTTCTTTACTATAGCTATAAAGATAATAGAATACTACGCTTAAGATTATATATTATATAAATATAGTAAAAAACTTTTTACTTCTACCTCTTATAAAAGTCTTTTAAAGTAATTTTAATAAAGTCTTTCTTTTAAGCTATTATTAGAACTAATATATTAAGAAGTTTCTTCTTAAAATACTAGAGTTACTATAGCTATACTTTTATAAAGGCCTACTTAGTAGCTAAAAGGTCTAACTTTTAGTTTATAAGTACTATGCCTACTAAGAAGATAATAACTACTAATATAGTATTACTATATAGCTTATCTAGAAATTTCTTATTATTAACGTTAAAGTTAGTACTATAAGTATAGCTAATCTAGCTACTAGTGTACTTTAGCCTAACTCTTCTATTAAAGATAACTTTCTCTAGTATATTACTTAGACTATAGTAGTAGTTACTTACTATTTTTTAGGTAGTAGGCTATAACTTACGCTTAGAGTATATACGCTTAAGTATTAAACATAACTTTTAGTTTATATTAATTATATTATTATTTTTCTTAGAATTAGTACTAGAATTAGAATTAAAGATATAAAATAAAGAGAAGTATTTTTAGCGTAAGAGAGAGGTTTTATACTCTTATAGCTACGCTCTTCTAACTCTAAACTAGACTCTTATAGAAATCTCTATACTTATAGTACTATAGTTTAATACTATCTTTAACTATAGTTAATTTACGTAGTACTATAGTTTAACTTAATCTTAAACTATAGTTTACTTATAAAGTAGTACTACTACTATAGTTTAATACTACCTTTACTATAGTCACCTACTAAGTTCTATAGCTAATAAAAAGGCTTCTATTTAATATTATGCTATATTTCTTAATCTAGCTTTTCTACTAATAAGAGCTTCTTATTATTACTATTAGTATCTACCTTAGAAAGCTTATTTCTACGTTAACTTCTAGATAGAGAATATTTTAATATTCCTATAGCTTTATAGACTTATAGCTTACTTATTACTACTCTTAAGCCTACCTCTAAGTCTACTAAAAATATCTTTATTACTATTACGCTTATAAGTACGTTATTATTAAAGTATTAGATTTATAGTAAACGTTACTAAGAAAAAGTTTTATTAATACTTATAGCTATATATAGCAAATATAAGGTGTTTAGAAAATACACCTATATTAAGATTACTATATAGAGTTACTAACTGCGTTTTATTGCTCTGCTCTGCATTAACACTCTACTATAATAAAGTAAGTAGAGTACATTACCTTTAGAAAAGACTTTATAGTAGTATAGCTTACATATATTATTATTAATTATATTATTTAACACTACAGCATTCTAAAGATAATTATTAGTAATAGAGACAAGCTCTTTACTTTAAAATTTTAGACTACCTTACTAGCTACTATTAGAACTTAAAGAAAGCTATTAATAGCTTATTATCTATAGATAGATAGACAAACTAAGCAAACAAATTATAGAATAAAAGTGTATTTACGCATCTACACTAACAAATAGCAAAATAACTAGGTATTGCTATTGCCTATAGTCTAGATAGCGTATAATAATAAACTTCTAAAGTCTGTAGAATAAACTCTATCTTATATAAACTAAAGAAGATATCTAAATTTCTTTATACGCACATTTTCTAGTTTAAAGATATAAGTAGCTATTACTACTATAGATAAGCTAAAGATAGTATATAAGTTACTTAAGAAGAAACTTAAAGAGACATAACGCTAAAGTATTTTATATATTAATAAAAAATAGAAAATAGCACCTTAGCTAAAGAAGAGAAATAAAGTTTATCTACCTATAAAGAATCTTCGCACTAAGCAACCTGACAAGAGGCTTAACAACGTTAAAGTTAGACTATTTTTAATTCTTAATAGAAAAGACCTAGTTACTTATATACTTAACTTTCTACCTAACACAAAAATCTACCTATAATTCTATATTAAGATCTTAGAACTAGTATACTCTAAAACGCTGCTATAGAAAAGTTTCTACTTTAAACTAGAAGAAGATAACGTCTATAAATTTAAAAGAATTCTTATATACTAATAAAATAATAATAGAATAAAGTACCTAATTAAATAGTTAGAATATAATATAAACTAAGCTATATAGAAACTAGATATAAACTTTATAAATTACTATTAACACCCTACAAAGTACTACTAGAGAATTTAGTATAACTATACAAAGCAACTATAGTATTAAGACTACCTAAGGTAGACTATATTATAGGGAAAAACGCTATCTTAATAGAAGCTACTAGATAGTCTATACTTTCTATATTAACCTTCTTACTCTCTACCTCTATCTCTCTTATAAGATATAGCGTCTTCTTCTACGCATGCTTATTAGTCTATACTAATATCTTTTTATTACGTAGTAAACGCGCAATTACCTCTACTAATAACTTTTTATCTTTATCTACTTTTACTTAATACTTCTTATAGAATTTATCTAGAGAGGTCTAAGATATATTAATATATAACTTGCTAAGATAAGTATATTCTATATATTTAAGAGAGGACTTTAGTATAATATAATAAGGCTAATTATTAATAAAGTACTTATTATAAGTAATATTTAAAATAAAATAAGTGTTAAGAATTTTCTAGATAAGATAAATCTAATATTTATAAAGCTTAGATAATATAGTAGACCTTTAGAGCTTATAACACATATAAAGTAACTCTACTTATAAGCTAGGTAAGACTAAGATTAAGTAATTTAAGAATAGATTCTTAGAAGAAGAAGATAGTATTATAACCTAAAGTTAAAACGCTTATAACTACGCTATAACTACGCTATATAACTTAGAACTAGAAGAATAATTCTTTAAAGTAATAACTATTAGTAGTTATATAACTAATTACTTTAGTAAGAGTTATTATCTACTTTACTAAAAACTATTACTAGAAGTAATTACATCTATTATAACTACTACTAGATAGTTATACCTACTATTATTAGAAGTTACTAGAACTACTATATAAGTATATAGCTTAGATATTATACCTCTATAGTTTAGTATGTTTAACTTTATATAAAACTCTAGTATTTAATTTAAGAATTATACTTTTTTCTTAACTTCTTATAATATTATATTATTTTACTAGATATGCTATTATACCCTTATACTATTATATTAATCTACTAATTATGCTAGTACACTATCTCTGTTTTACTTTGCTTACTTATTTCTAAGATCTAATATCTTAGGTTATCTTTAGATAACCTTTACAAGTCTTAGCAAAAGCTAGCTACTTACTTATTCTAGCTACTTGCTTATTACCTACGTTATAGTAACTACTATAGTTCTCTTAATACCTAAACACGTGTATAAATACTAGGTACTTACTAGGTACCTAGATTCTATTAATTAGCTAGTTATAGTCTAAGCGCCGCACGTATAAGCTTTACTTATTTTTTTTACTACTCTTATATTCTACTATTGTTTTTTACGTAACGTTATATATTATACTAGATACTATATATAGCTATAATTACCGCTTCTAGTAAGCTCTTAACCACGTGCTCGTAGTGTCTCGCAACAGCTGGAACGCAAGGTACTAGTCTTGTTAAACAGGCTTCCTGCTGCTAATACCACTAGTTAAAACGTTAGACAGGTACGCGTAGCATTGATTAGCCTTTCAGTACTATTTGAACATGGAATTGATTGCCTCGGTAAGCTCTGCGATGCTCGTCTTGTTGATGCAGTATTTACTACCCTTGTCGAATTGTCGGAGGCGATGCGCCTGAAATTGCGGCGGTTTGTTTTTTCGGGGCGTAGGGTACGTGTTACACAGCCACCATGAGATGAAGCTACCTGCCTCAACCACTTTAGCCTAATTGACAAAATCCTTCCGTAATATCAATATTTTAGCTGCCCTTCTGAATTACGCGTTACGCGAAGTCTTTCCTCACAGCCCTTTGTCCGGCTGCTGAGCGCGGGTCGGTCTACGCTCTTGCTCATAAACGGCAACGAAAGCTTGCTCCTGCGCAGCTCGTTTTCCCGCACTCCGGCTTCTGCACTGAGCGGAACCTGTGGGGGAGAACTAAGCCAGTCGTTTATGGTGTTTTATTGACATCCCTGTTGGAGGCGCAGCTTACCCTCACGTAAGCGTGATGCATTACGCTTATCCTCACGTAAGCGTGATGCATCGAGGTACTGATATATAAGCCCTGCTCAGCTCGGCTACCGGTATGGTACAAGACCTCGGCTGAATAATACCTCTCACTCTCTTCGCCTCTCCATATCTTCATCCCTGTCCAATCATGCGTCTTCTGCGGCTGGATTCCCACAAAAACACGTGGATTCTCGAAGACTTCTCTCCACCTCATTGTCCCTTCTACGTCATCCTATCGCATACATGGAGCCGCGACAATGACGAGGTCAGGTTCGAAGACATCGAAAGCGGAGAGCGTGAATACAACGATACCAGCAAACCAGGTTACGATAAGCTTCGCTTCTGCCAAACGCGAGTGGAAAGGGATGGTCTACGTTATTTCTGGATAGATACTTGCTGTATTAAGAAGTCTGACAGTTATGAGCTGCAGCGCTCACTAGCCTCGATGTTCTATTGGTATCAGAGAGCTACTAGGTGCTATGTGTGGCTTCAAGATGTGTCTATCAGCGATGCTACCGACGATACAGGAAACCAGTGGGAAAAGGCATTTTCGAAGAGCATGTGGTTCAAAAGAGGCTGGACACTTCAAGAACCACTCGCGCCAGACTTTGTTAGCTTCTTCTCTAAAGAGAAAATATATGTTGGTGAGAAAAGGAGTTTAGCGTCTACAATTAGTAACGTTTGTGCTATTCCTAGACCAGCACTCGAGGGCGTGGAATTATCACATTTCAGCCCAGAAGAGCGTCTATCATGGACGAAAGGACGGGTTACTACGGTCCCTGAAGACGCCGCGTATTGCTTGTTTGGGATCTTTGATGTAGAGCTGCCTACGTTGTACGCGGACGGTAATTATACCAAAAGGAAAAACATAGCCATGGGCAAGCTACATAAAGCCATTGACGAAAAGGACGTCGACTTCAAACATCCAGACGACTGTATACACATCGGCGGCGCATTCTGGAAGGACCTTATAATATTAAGAGAAGAGCAACTGTTAGCGCTGGACTCCGACCTTGACGAATTCTGCAAATGGCTTCTCGAGGGCTTTCTTAGCCAATACGCTGACGAACATCACATGCTAAGAGAAACAATGACCAGGTTGTCGCAGGATGCAGGCAAGAGGATGAAAAAATTGCTGGCAAATTATAACGTCCGCTACGAGGATCTGTCACATCTTGAAAATGACATGCAGTCCTGGGAATCTTGGGTACGCTATAGAACCGGTCATGCGACTTCTCAAACGAGAGTACAGGCGCTAGTGACGAATCGCTGGCGTAAGAATCAAGAGCATGAGAATACTTTCGAAGGGATTACGGCAGCTAGAACGCTGGAAATGTTGATGATCTGGAGAGGAACGTGGAACCCCGTTTGAGGATGATGGTAATTTACCACCTATGTCTTGTGTTTGCTCGCTCTTTATATTGTCGCGAGTGTATTGCGACTAATCTCTAGACTAGGTCTGCTGGCCCTTACTAGGTAGCAAACGGGGACGCTTCGAGAATATCACGTAATTAGGATTATGTTAATTTTCTATATTTATTATACTATAACGTAGATAATAAGCGAGTGGAACCTTTAAGCAAGTAGAACCTTTTTGCTAAGACCTAACTAAACTTTAAGTACACTATAATGCCTTAACTAGGCAACGTAAAAAAGACTTTAGACAAAAGAGACATATAGCTTACCTTACAGACTATCTAATAAGATGTAATACTTAAGCTATAACACGCTATAGCTATCTACAACGTTACTAAAAGTACACTATAAAGATAACTTACTAGAACGCCTTAATAACGTAATATAATGCCTAAATTAATAGCTCTTTAAAGCTTAGAAGAGGTAGTAATTATCTAATATATTCTAAAGCTAGTAAAGTAAGAATATTTGCCTTAGCTTGCTAATGTTAAGAAGATAGCTAATAATTTACTCTAGGTTCGCAACTAGAACCTAGTTAGCAAGAGATAGGCTATAAACTTTATTAAGCGCTGCCTAGAGCTTAAAGTTAAGTTTAATTAAAAGTATAACTATATTTAAGCTCTCTGCAAGAATTCTAAGGTTATAGAAGACTAGTTCTACCTAGTATAAAATACTAAAGCTAAGTATAGTATCTAAAACAAAGATACCTACAACTTTAATAAAATAGGCTTTATAATAGGCGTAATATTAACTAGAGTTGTAGTTATAGTAGTAGAGCGTTAAGAACAGCTAAAGATAATATAGTAGAGCAATTAGAAGTAGGTTACAGCTATTTAAGGTATTAACGCAATAAAGTAGATAATTCTACTCTTTATTATCTTTGCTAGTAAGCACTACCTCTTAGCCTAGTATAAGGAAGAAGACCTACTATAGAATTAGGTTATTAGAGTCTCTAAGAATAGCTAGACAACAAATAAGCTTAGTATTAAGTAGCTAGAGCACTTTAATAAGTATACAAAAGAGAAGGTTATTAGTAGCTATTGCCTACTAGTTATTAATAGCTATAAGAGCTATAACTTAATTAATTTCTACTAGCTCTGTAAGAAGAAGAAAATAATTACTCTCTATATACCTGCGTACTCTTTGCACCTACTATAGCTGCTTAACGTTAGGTGTTTTGCGTTACTAAAGAAGGCGTATAAATACTAAGCTAAGAAGCTAATACGTAATAAGATTACTTATATTACTAAAACAAAGTTCTTACTATACTTTATTACTGCTTATAACACCTTAATTATAAAGAGTAATATTCTAGAAAGCTTCTAAGGCGCTAGCTTAGTTCTATTTAATCTAGAGGCTATAGTATTAACGCTTAACATCTACCTACGTACTCTACTATTACTTACTATTAAGAATAGTCTCTAGTAGTTGTAGACTTTAAGTAATACTCTAGAATTAGAGTCTTAAACAAAGCTAGTTCTTAAGAGGTTTTAGAGGTATGTAGATAGCTTACTAATCTTAATAGTTAAGGCTATTAAAAAGCTTATAAAAAGAGTAGAGATAATAGTGTACTCTCTAGTATTAATAACTAAGCGCAACGCTAAACTTAAAGTAACTAATAAAGTAGCTACATAATATATATTATATAAAAGAAGGCGTATATAAAAAGAGAGAACTCTTATAATTAGTAAAGAACTTTAACTAACAACTCTAAAAGAGTTTAGAGCGCGTAGTAATAGAAAGAAAGTTAAGAAGAGAGCGTGTATTAAAGTAGATAAGTTGTCTTAAAGACACTGTAGACGCTATAGCAAGGTAGAATATAACTTGTATATATATAAGTAAGATGTAGTAGAAGTTTCTAATTAATTTAGTCTACTATAAATATTAATTACTATTCTAAATAGTGCTCTATAGTTATGTATAGTTAAAGTTTTAGTTAGGTTTTAGTAAAAAGGTGTTACAAACCTAAGAATAGGAAAGCACTCGACTATGTATAAAGGATAGTGGCACGGAGAAACCCTAGACAACCTAGACAAAGGGCAGGCCTTTGTCTACTAATAGATAACGCTACCCCGCAGCGGTTAGGTAGTTCTATAAGGCTTAGCGGAAATTCTTTATAGGACAAGTTACGTGCGTCCTATAATATATTACAACGCATTATAGTGTACTACGCATAAGATAACGTAGAACAATATAGAACTTATAGAACACTATAACTCTTATTAAGTATATAGCTTAGACACTACACCTCTATAGTTTAGTGTGTTTAACTTTGTACAAGACTCTAGTATTTAATCTAAGGATTATACTTCTTTCTTAACCTCTTATAATACTATATTGTTCTACTAAACGTGCTATTACACCCTTGTACTATTACATTAATCTACTAATTGTGCTAGTACAACAGAACCTGTCTAACGCACTCACTCGTTCCTAAGAACTAACCTCTTAGGTTATCTTAGAACAACCTTCACAAAAGGTTCTACTTGCTTAAAGGTTCTACTTACTTATTATCTACGTTAATACATTTCTATAATTATTCCTCGTAAGCTGTAAAAGCGGAAAGCAACCACGCTGCTAGCACACAGAATGCGCCTAACATGTATTAGAATCTAGTTTAGCAATTAAGAAGTACTCTACTAAGTTTTAAGCACTACCTATTTAGCTAAGATCTAAGTTAAGATTTTACAGATTCTAACCCGAATTTAGGCTAGTTTAGCATAATAGTAAGTAGCGGAGTTTATTCTTCAAAGCCTAGTCTATGCAGAATTAAAGTTTCTTTTATAGCCTGCCTTACTGTGCTAGGCCGCGAATTAAGCTAGCGCGCGAATCGAGCTACCTAAACATTATAACAAAGCTAATAATACCTACGTGTTAAGGTCGTCCTTCAAGTTTGTTCTCAGAGACAAGTAAGCGAGGTAGGACAGAGTAGTGTACTAGCACAATTAGTAGATTAATGTAATAGTATAGAGGTGTAATAGTACAATTAGTAGGTTAATATAATATTATAAGAGGTTTATAGAAAGAAGTATAATTATTAGATTAAATACTAAAGTCTTATATAAAGTTAAATACACTAAACTATAGAGGTGTGGGATCTAAGCTATATACTTATATAGTAGTTATAGTAACTTCTAATAATAGTAGGTATAACTTTCTAGTAGTAGTTATAATAGTTATAATTACTCTTAGTAATAGTTCATAGCAAAGTAAGTAATAACTCTTAGTAAAGTAATTAGTTATGTAACTACTAATAGTTATTACTTTAGAGAATTATTATTCTAGTTCTAAGTTATGTAGCGCAGTTATAGCGTAGTTGTTAGCGTTTTAACTCTAGGTTATAACACTATCTTTCTTTTCTAAGAATCTATTCTTAGATTACTTAACCTTAGTCTTATCTAGCTTATAAGTAGAGTTACTCTGCGCGTGTTATAAGCTCTAGAGGTTTACTATATTATCTAAGTCTTGTAAACGTTAGATCTATCTTACTTAGAAAATTCTTAACGCTAATTTTATTTCTAATATTACTTATAATAAGTGTTTTATTAATAATTAGCTTTATTATATTATGCTAAATTCCTCTTTTAAATGTGTAGAATACACGCGTCTTAGCTAGTTATATATTAATATGTCTTAGGCCTCTCTAGATAAAACTTGTAAGAAGTATTAAGTAAAAGTAGAAAAAGATAAAAAGTTATTAGTAGAGGTAATTACGCGTTTACTACATAATAAGAAAATACTAGCGTAGGCTAATAAGCGTGTATAGAAGAAAACGCTGTGTTTTACATTAGAGATAGAGGTAGAGAGTAAAAAGGTTAATATAAAAAGCCTAGATTATCTAGTAGCTTTTATTAGAATAGCGTTCTTGCCTATAATATAGTCTACCTTAGGTAGTCTTAATACTGCAGTAGCTTTATATAGTTATACTAAGTTCTCTAGTAGTACTTTGTAAGGTGTTAATAATAATTTATAAAGTTTATGTCTAGTTCTTATATAGCTTAGTTCTTATTATATTCTAACTATTTAATTAGGTACTCTATTTTATTGTTATCTTATTAGTGTATAAGAATTCTTTTAACCTTATAGATATTATCTTCTTCTAATTTAAAGTAGAAAGTTTTCTATAGCAGCGTTTTAGAGTGTGCTAGTTCTAACATCTTAATATAGAATTATAGGTAGATTTTTGTATTAGGTAGAAGGTTAAGTATATAAGTAACTAGGTCTTTTCTATTAAGAATTAAAAATAGTCTAACTTTAACGTTGTTAAGCCTCTTGTTAGGTTGCTTAGTGCGGAGATTCTTTATACGTAAATAAACTTTATCTCTCTTCTTTTGCTAAGATGCTGTTTTTTGTTTTTTATTAATATATAAAATGCTTTAGCGTTGTGCCTCTTTAAGTTTCTTTTTAAGTAACTTATATACTATCTTTAGCTTATCTATAGTAGTAATAGCTATTTCTATCTTTAGACTAGAAAATGTGCGTATAAAGAGATTTAGGTGTCTTCTATAGTTTATATAAAATAGAGTTTATTCTATAGACTTTAGAAGTTTGTTATTCTACGCTATCTAGGCTATAGGTAATAGTAATACTTAGTTGTTTTGCTATTTGTTAGCGTAGATGCGTAAATATACTTTTATTGTACAATTTATTTGCTTAGTCTATCTATTTGTTTGTAGATAATAAGCTATTAATAGCTTTCTTTGTATTCTAATAGCAGCTCGCAAGGTAGTCTAAAAGTTTAAAGTAAAGAGCTTGTTTTTATTACTAATAATTAATTTTAGAATGCTGTAGTGTTAGATAATATAGTTGTTAATAATATGTGTAAGCTGCACTACTATAAAGTCTTTTTTAAAGGTAATGTACTTAGCTTACTTTATAAAATAATTAACTACTATAAGAATTATATTATAGAATACTTTAGTTATAGAGTCTCTTAAGACTAGTAGGCCTATTATAAAGTTTATAGAGATGTCTAACTAAGGCTAGTTAAGTAGCTTTATTGCTTATATCTCTCTATAGAGTGTATGTGTACTATGCTTATTCTTTTAACAGTCTACGCACTTAGCTATAAAAATAGTAATCTTATTCTTTATGTTTAGAAACTTATAATTTTGCTTAATAAGTTTTATTATTCTAGTAATACTAGAATAACTGTATATAGAGTTATTATAGTGTTATTTAATAATTACTTCTTATAATTCTTCTAGTACTGTATTAGCAACTTGCATAAGTAGGTTTAGCGTTTTAGCTAGTT